TAGATAAGATAACATGTGACTAATTTGATACTAATTTTGGGTGTAATAAGATGCTAAAACTTTTCCTGCATGTATCAACTTCCGAACTTAGTTCTATAGATGCAAATCATAACTTATTTTTTTACAAACTCTTAGTTAAACTTAAAATAATCTTTAAAATGATATATTCACATAAGTGGTCAATCACACAGATAAAAATGATTGGTGGTAACTCTATTTTGTTGCATCTAATGAGAAAGATCTAGAAATTGAATGTTATGATAGTATGGTATATTAATCTCACATCAGATAGAAAAAGAAAGATCATTGGACAATAAACGTTAGTGCTACACATTTTGATAAATTGATTTTGTGAAGAAAGTATTTGTTACCTAACACAAAATCTATGAAACGAAAAATCTAAAACTCACGTATATAGTATTATGATCATGATAGCTCTAATACAAGTTGTTAGGCTAAAACCACATTCCAATTAAACATCCAAGCCAACAAAAGCAAATTCAATTAATCAATTAATCAATCACATAAGAGATAATAATTTAATTTAGTTTAACCTAATCGACCTATATCTACAAATGAGAAAAGAGATCCATTAGTTGTAGAGAATTACAAACACATCAACAAATTAATCTCACTAACAATTAATATCCATGGACCCTCTCATTCTCTTCTAGTCTTATAGAGTATTCTCAACTCAAATATATATCAATATGTATCCATACACCATATCTAAGTAGACCCTCTCTTTTTTCTCTAATCCACTCAAACATACACACTTATTATATGAACCTTCTCAATCTTCTTTAGTCTTATTAGGTGTCTACCAAATAAAACCCTATAACTCTTTTATATTTTTTCTCATAGCTAACATTATGGAGACTCTAGCTATTTATAACTATACTAACTTATCTATCAAGAATATTTTTTCTTTTAGAATTATTCTTTTACAAGTCTTCTTATCCATCAAATAATATATGGTCCATCTTAAATAAATCTCTTATGAAATTTGAATCATTATTCCCAACATATAAGACCAATCAAGAGAATCTCTTTAAAATTCCTCTTTTATCTTTCAGAAAAATGAAAGAGCTAAGAATCCAATTCGATCGAAAAAAGAGAATCTCTAAAAGTAAAAACATAATATAAATTTAGAATGCACCTTTAAAAAGGAAAGGTTCTTATAACATTAACAAGAAAATGGACATATATATTAGAGAGAATCAGCAGTGTCTATATATGATTTTACTAACATGGTCTTCTCATGACATTAATTTTTTGAGTTAGACTGATTAATTATACCAAAAACAAGGAACCTTACCGATTTAACTTTCGGTCTGATTTTTTAAACATTGGTGGTGTTTGTAAAAAATTCTACTTGGGGAATTGTTTTCATAATATAGATAAGTATTGAAACTTAAAAATGTCTTTAGTTTGGGAATTATTTGGGACTGTCATGGTTTTGTTGCTTGTACCTTTTGTGTCAAATTATTTACTTGCAATCAACAATAAGGTCCATTTTGTCATTAGAAGTAAAAAAAAACACTAGACAGAAAAATAGCAATCCTTAATTTGTCACACCAACTTCAACAATCCACTATTGTCTGTCAAATCTGTAACAAACCTGGACATCAAGCTTTGTTATGTTATGAAAGATTCAATCATGCATATCAAGAAGAGGATGTCCCAAAAGCTCTTGCTCGATTATCTATACATAATGTTGATGATTCTAATTGGATTATAGACACTGAAGCAACCTCTAATATAAAAAATAATGCAGGTAACCTTACTAATCTCAGACTTAATAAAGGAACATCTAGAATCATTGTTGAAAATGGCAAGAATCACAACATCACTCATAGAGTAGATGTCTCAATTCCTACATCCTTAAGCAATTTGTTACTTAAACATATGTTAGTGGTTCCAGATATTACTGCAAATCTAATTTTTATTGGTCAGTTACTCGATGACTCATCATGTATATTTGTTGTCTTCACGTCCTCTGGTTTTGTTATTAAAGACACGAAGACTTGGAAAACAGTGGCAAGCGGGGTTAAAAAGGATGGTTTTTTTATTCTTGGACAGGACAAGATGGCTTTCTTTTCAGTCAGACAACGAAAGGTTACGCAGTGAGTTTGGCATCAACAGTTGAGTCATCCCTAATTAAAAATATTGAAGTATCTCAGCAATAAATTTTTTTTTCTGTCCAAAGAGCAAAGAAAGATTCTATTTATTCAAGTTGTCAAATGGGAAAATTTTGCAAATTGCCTTTTATGCGCCTAGAAATGAATGCAATAGCTTTCCTTTTCAGAAATTACATTATGATCTTGGGGTCCAAACCCCTATGCATCTTTCCAGGGGTTCAAATATTTTGCTACATTTGTGGATGATTTCTCTAAATATACTTGGATTTTCCCCTTGAAAAAAAATACGATTTCTTTCTGGGCTTCAAAACTTTCATGCATATGATTGATAAACAATTTGAATGGAAATTAAAGGATTTCAAAGTGATGGTAGGGGTGAGTTTAACAAGATTGAATTTCTTTCATTTCTAGCTGACAATGGCATCGTTTGACATATTTCTTGTCCCCATATTGCAAAGCAAAATGGCCCAAAAGAAAGGAAACATAGGCATGTTATTGAATGGGCTTTGACCTTATTATTTCATAGCCATGTACCTAAACAGTTGTGGTTAGAAGCAGGCCATACAACTACATGTCTTATCAATCGAACTCCTCAGAAACGTTAAATATGAGTTCGCCGTAAAAAATCCTCTTGGGAAAGATCAAAATTATTCATTCTTAAGAAGTTTTGGTTGTCGGTGTTATTCTTACTTGAGAGATTACACAGAAAATAAATTTTCTCCTAAGAGCCTTCCATGTATCTTTGTTGGTTATAACCAAAATCATAAGGGGTATAGCTGTCTTCAAGTTCCCACTAGTTGTATATATATTTCAAGGCATGGTTTTTTTTTTTTTTTTTTTATGAAAATGAATATCCTTACTCGGCAGATTTTACAGTTGATTGTCTAACAAAAGAAGGGCTCATGAATCCTAACACATGGATGGACCTCTTTGATGTCCTTGAATATCAAAACTTGCTAGAATTTCCATCAACTATGCCACCTACACCTTCTGTTCAACATTCTCATGACAACCACAACACTTCAGTGGCCATAGCACAAGAACAGGCTATGCAAACTGAAGCTAAAATTCAAAATCATAAGAATGACTCAATTTCACATCCATCTTCTCAGGTACTAAGATCGAGCAACAACAATTCGTCTTCTCTTGATCCGGGATGTCATTTACAGCTCAATATGCATCCTATGACAATTAGAAGCAAGTTAAAAACTAGTCTTTTGCCTTTCAATTTTGATTAATCATGTGATATACCTCGAGAACCAACGACTTTAAAGACTGCTCAGTTCATTCAGGTTCATACAAAGCAATGCGAAAAGAAGTACAAGCTCTATCCAAGAATCATACTTGGACTATTGTTCCTCGACAATCTTCAATGAATGTTAGTGGTTCTAAATGGGTTTATAAAACCAAATTGATGTCAGAAAGCGCCTTGGGAAGACTCAAAGCTAGGTTGGTTGCCAAAGGTTTTAACCAATAACCGGGCATTGATTATGATAATACATTCAATCCAGTTATTAGTCCTCAAACAATTCACATTGTTCTTACAATTGCACTAGCCAAATATTGGTCAATCAAATAGCTTGATGTCCTGAATGCATTTTTTTATCGGTTTTTTTAAAGAACGTGTCTACATGGAAGAACCCCCTGGTTTTCAAGACTTTAAGCATCCAGAGTATGTATGCAGACTTAATCGAGCATTGTATGGTCTTAAGCAAGCCCTTCGCTCATGGTTTGAAAGGTTTAGCCGCTATTTACTTCAGCTTGGTTTTCACAGCAGACATAGTGACAACTCCCTCTTTATTCTCCAGCATGAAACAGGCACTATATTCGTATTGTTATATGTGGATGACATTATCATAATAGGAAGCAATTCTGTTCTCTTAAATAATCTCATATCAACTCAGTACAAAATTTTCGATGAAAGATTTACGCAACTTCAACTATTTTCTTGGTATTCAAGTGTCTTACACTTATCGTGGGATGTTCTTATCTCAACAAAAATATACTAATGAACCTTTTTAGCGTGCTGTTATGTTCGATTGCAAACCTATAACCACCTCAATTGTCAACAAGTCTTCAGTTTTATCACATTCGAAACCATTCTCAAATCCTTCACTCTTTCGTAATTTGGTTGGTACTTTGCAATATTTGACCATTACAATACCTGAGTTATGCAATGCAGTCAACACAGTTTGTCAAGTTCTGCATTTACCCATTGTTGTACACTATCAGCTCGTAAAAAAGATACTGGAGATATGTCAAGAGAACTTCAGACCATGGCTTGCACTTGCTTAAATATTCCAATTTAGATTTGTATGCAATTTCTAATGATGATTGGGCAACTTGTTCACTGACTCGTTGATCTGATTGGCTATGCAATTTTTCTTAGTGCAAATCTGATATCTTGGGAAGTTAAGAAACAACAGACTGTCGCAAAATCCAATGCAGAGGCTGAGTACCAGGCTATTGCTTCAACAGCAGCAAAATTCATTTGGCTTGCCTCTCTCATGCGTGATCTTGGTGTTCACTTGTCTCAACCATCTATTTTATATTGTGACAATGCCAGTGCTCTTTATATGTCTTATAATCTAGTGTTTCATGCACGAAATAAACACATTGAGATTGATTACCACTGTGTTCCTAAAAAAGTTAATCAAGGCTCTTTGGTTACTCGTTTTGTGCGTTCTTCTCATCAATTGACTCATATATTCACCAAAGCTCTTCCGTAAAATCATTTTCAGATATTGCGTGCCAAGATGAGTATTCATTCCCTCTCACACATGAACTTGAGGGGGGAATAATAATGATTTACTTCCAATGACAGATTCTGTGCAATAACTTATGTAATATGAGCTGACATATTGGCTAATCTGTAGCCATAAACTCGACTACATTATTTGTCATTTATTCTTTTTTTTTTATTGTACAGATATTATCATTATAAATATATGGAACTAGAACACTCTCTAGACATAGAGAAAGTAATTCCATAGAAGTGTTTCTAAACCTTACTAATAGTGTATATAGTTTGGTCCTTTGAGTTTCGCCAGTTAATTTCTTAAGCTTTTGAATTATATGATAATTATGGTGGTGATCAGTTCTGAGTTCTTATTTATAGGCCACGCCCTCATAGATCCCTTCTGCAACTGCATCGTAAACAGCACCAACCAAGTTAAGTACACCTAAGCCTGCTAGTTGATGGCTTCCGGCCACACCCGTTTTGCAAAACATTGCAAAGTCCTCACAATTATTAAGAAAAAAATTGTAGCTGCCGAAGCTCTGGTTTTGGAGCAGACGATGAGCTGTTTCGACAACTTCATTTGCCGGTTTGCAGTGCCGACTGCTGCAAGAACCACGGTGTTTAAAAAGCAACTCCAAGTAGGAGACATCATATTCATAGCGGTACAGTGAGTGACCTTCCAGGAAGCAATCAAGGCAGGTTTTGAAGATTCCAGTCTGTGGCTTGAACCCACATTTTTTGCATGGTGGCCTGTCGTAAATCTTGCTTGGTCCCATCAGGTGAATCACCATGTCATCCCCCACATATATGCCTGGCGTCAAATTAAGGTCTCTCTTCTTTTAGAAATAAATTAAAATATATTTATTTCAAGATTTGACAACCTTTTACTCCAAATTATGCAAGGCAATCTTGTCTAGAAATTTAAATTTTCGTAAGACTCTACTTTTGGGAAATTATCACACCTGCTGATTGTCATGATGATAGGATTAAAAAAGAGTAACACATATTTTTTAGGATATAATAAAAAAATAAAAAATAATTAATAGAAATAATTGAACATGTGACAGTATTTTAATTTAGCTTATAAAATTAAAAAATTTCACTGAAGGTGAAATCTAAATAAAAATATAATCGGTTGTCAAATCTTCGTCTCACTACTTCTCAATCCAAATATATGGTTAAAAATTGGTTTCTTGTCACTCTTGATTAAAAATCCAGACCCGAATTATCAAAAGAAAAAGATCCAGACCCAAATTCTTCAAATTTGAAGCCAAAATCTCTACACAAGCCAACCCTTAATTGTAGTAATTAATAATAAATAATCATCAATAAAATTATAAAATTGTTGAAAAAGAAACTCTACATAGAAGATTGAAATTCTCATCTCCTATAAATTATAAGTTGCATTAATAAGTTGTTAATAATAGAAAAGAGAGAGAGTACATATACCATGGTGAAAGTAAAGACGTAACGTCCTATCAGAATAGATGTGATCACCCGGCCTAAGGGCATCCCTTCGTACTGTTTTCATCTTTCCTTGCTCTTTACTCTTCAGACTTAGAATTTAAGTTTGATGTGCAGCTTTGTACTGAACACCACAATTTATAGATGGAATTCATAACTGTGAGAACGAAGAATCATACATATATATATAACAAAAATATATATTGCCGATTAATTCTTATCTACATGTTTCTTTTTTAAACCATAAGAGGAATATGCAAGCTAATACATTATCCGATGTATCATTTTGTCCAGTATTTGTGGTGAAATACAGTATTATTAATTTATTAGGATTGACAATTAAAAAAGAAGCAGAAGATAATCCAAGCTGAGAACCATTTGTTTTTGGTAATATTTCATTTTTACTTGAAACTTTTAAAATTCAACTTTTGAATCCACAATCTTTTAAAAATATTACAAAAAAAAAGTAAATAATTTATTTAGAACAATTTTGAAAAAAATCATGATCTAAAACATAATTTTTTTGAAACAATCTAGAAGGCAACGGATGGTTGATAACTTTTTCTACAAAGAATAAAGAAAAATACCCCCCCCCCCCCCCAAATGAATAAGTTCTTAATTCTTATGCAAAGCCAAATTTTGAAGAATATATCACGTGACCCAACTAGTTAGGGCATGATGTTGTAGAAATGTCATGTGAACCCTCGCATAATGCTAGTTTTGGCATATAATTACTACAGACCAAATAAAGCACCAAATTATAGTTCTTGCTTGTCAGGCAGTACTGCGGATTTCACCAGTCCAAAATTTGATCTGAATGAATCATATTCCTCTTTTATACCAAGGGCCAAAATTAATCGGGTAATGCATTATCTATTAATTAACAAGACAAGTGGCTAGTCAAGGGAGGCAAGGTCATATGTCATTGTTACCATTGTTTTATTCGTTTCCTAGTTTTATTTTTTATTTTTATTTTTTTGGCAATTTCAGTATGCCTATATCACGAGCCGATGTAATGTAAAGCGGACAACCGCTCTTTAGTACCCAAAAAAAAAAAAAAAAGACCAAACTTGGATAGGCAACCCGAATCATATCTTGGAGAATTATAAGTTGCATACCACTTGATGGAGACTCAAACACATTCAAACCTGATGGAAATTAGAAAAGTATCCACCAAAACTTATCCAAAGAAACTAGAAAAATAAAAATAAAAACGAGGAAGAAAAATATCTCACTTCTTCGTGGGACAACAAATATGAGGCAACCCTCAAACAAAGAGCTCCTATGATATTTATTTTATTTTAACTTTGGTGCTTATTTCTGTCTTTGATTGCCACAAGGTAAATATGGAGTTAGTCAAAAGTTAAGTTGCAATTCGTTTGAAAATTTTGGAAGATTACCAATAATAATGGAGATGGCATCTTCTTTATTCTGTATTTCATTTGGTTTGACTAAGATTCTCACATATCCATAATTCCATATGCCTTTAAAGTTTTTACTTCTTTGTTATTAAATGCAATTTGATTGGCTACTGACAACAAAATATAGACCTGATCAAATGGCATTCAAAATGAGAATATTGACAGACTGGAGCTGCTCCAAATATACAAAGGATTACAAAATAACCATCCTTGAAAATCAATTTCATAGGTGTTTACTAATTGAAGGAACAAATTTTATTTGCTAAGGGGTCTTGCAATGATTGGCTTCACTAAGATTTTGCTTGGTATGGGAATGATGGAAAGGTCTATGAATGAAAAAGAAAATTGTAATTAACAATTACGCCATGCAAAATAAGAAAGTGATTATGAAACTTGACATTCCATTTAGAAAATATTTTTTTATATATATATTTTTATCTTTTTTATCAAATAAAGTTTAAGATCAAAGTGCATTTGAATTAAGAATTTTGAAATTTTAAAAAATTAAATTAAAACATAATTATTTAATTAAATAATAATATCATGAGTTGAGCCAAATCCAATTGATTTTAAAAATCCAAAACTCGACTTGAGACCATTGGAACTGCTCGTTGTAAGTCAAGCTGACAGGCCTAAAGCTTGAAAAAGGTTAATAGTATGATATTCTTTTAATAAAGTGATTTTAGCAAGAATACCTCTGTCTAGTACTATTAATTACCCACATATATGCCAACCTGTTACGAAATTAAGAAATTAATTGATGTCTCTTAATAAAAAAAAAATCGCCCCTTAAGGGCTACAACAACCATGCACAGAAAGAAGAAGAAAATGGAAATTAGAACCATTTTTTAAATACATACTTTTTAAGTGTCCTATTAGTAAAAATGTGATTACCAGGCTTGAGCTCATCCCATTTCCGGACTTCCATCTTTCTTCCTTTAACTCCAAACCAATGTTTGAGTTACAGCTGGGTACATACTTTACAGTACTTCAAATTCATAGACGGAAAGAAGGGTTCTGGGAAGCAAAAAAAAAAAAAAAAAAAAGAATGATTAAAGAATCCAAATGACCGAATATTGATCGTGAAAATTGGATAATCCTATAAAGTAACGGGACCAATGGTTTACTTTAAAAGATATCGGGATGGACTTTATCAAAGTTTAGTAACAGCAAAAGACTTGAAATTCAAGCTGGGGTATTATGTAAAATCGGTCCCGTAACAAATTCAGACAAGTATGCAATGGAATTAAGCCATTAAAGCCAAGAGTGGAGAATCGAATAAATATGAGGAAAATGTTCTTACGCAAGCCAAAAGGCATCCTTGATGAATCATCTGCCTTATTATGGTGACCATGACACACTACAAGTGATGAATGAAGAGTGAACGCTTGCATATATACGCAACACAAGCTAATGTATCGGAGTTTCTTTTTGCAGTGTTGTCATAACCGAATCGGCCGACCGATTCAATCGGTAATCAATGGTCTTTTCAATCCAATAAGGCTATTTGAACAGGTTGCTAGTCGGACCGAACCATTATTTTTAATATATTAAATAAAACGTTTAGATACTGGCAATAAAATATAAACCTGAACGAATTCCATTAAACACATCGACAGGAGTTTGTCCAATATACAAAAAGCTTTTTCATTTCCAGTAATATAGTACAATCTTACTACAACCAGTCAAAGACAGGGGGGACACTCAGGCTCAAACAAGCCTCAGGAAATTACTATTGGGATTTATATCAAATTATTTATTATAGATTTTCATTTTTCACTTTTTTGAAAGACGAGTTGTAAAGTCTATAGTATTATTCCTGAGATAATCGGCTGGCATCATGCAGTTGATGACACGAAGAAGACAATGCAATCTATGTTTCCTTAGTACTATTAGTACTTGTAAACACTGCACCTCAAGTTCAGGTCAGGCCTCCACCACTGGTATAGCCCATGAGCATGCATAATATCTGGTGGAGGATTTAGATTCACTGTCAGATTTGCAGAAGGAAGCAGATGCAACGGTTCCGAAGTTTCGACACCTTTTATTTCCACCGCACTCATAAATAGATTTGTCAGTGAGTGCTGGCTTGTTAACCTCGCAATAGCCTCGGCCCCAATATCTTCCAGCTTTCTCCTGTGCTCGAAATAACCGATATATTCAGCGCATATGTGGTCTTCTGATTCACAAATAGGCATGGGATCCATCCAGATATAGCAGCGAATGAATCTTCAAATCCATTTCCATTCCTTGAATTGTTATTGTTACCATTTGTAGCAGCAGCAAAAGCAAGTCCAGCCTTGATTACAGTGCCTGCAATCGAAGTCCATGTCTCACTTTCTTATCTTTGATTCTCTCAATTGGGGGAGATATGAATGGCGGGTTAAAGAGGAAAGTTTCCAAGAAATAGCCTGTCTTGGCCATAGTCTTTCCAGCAAGCATTGCCATGGTTGCTCCTAGGGAATGACCAGTTAACCAGACATTTGAACCACGCACAGCAAAAACCACGTCTCGAACAGCTTTTATGGCAATCGCAAAACGAGTAGTCTGGTGGAGTCCATTTCGGATTACATCGATATCCAAGTCAAGATCTCTTGCAAAGGAGTCTCGTTTCATTAAAGTACCTCGGAAGGCAATTGCATAGCGAGGGCTCCTATCAATTGTACGATGATATGGATAAGGTGAAGGATTATATTCAAATATGGCACCGAAGATGGAAGTATCATCATCATCAACAAGCTGATGAATCAACTTGAAGTGGAAAAACTCCCACCAAGGAGGAGCAAGACATTGAGAACCTTTACATCTTGCCTGGCGATCACTTTCCAGCACGTAGACACCCCCAACCAAACAGGCTGCTACAGGCCTCCGATGATGTGCATTGTTCCAATCATACTATTTAGGTGCGAGGGCCCTGAAGAGCTAAAATGTTCACTTCCAGAGTCCATTATAACACCTGAAATTCTTGCTTTTTCTTGTTGATTTCCACGAATATTGCTGAGAGTTTGGTGCAATTAAACCAGATGTGGGTGATGATTAATGAAGATTTGAAATAAATTTGATGTGGTTTGTTGGGGAGACATGCACAAAAGCAGCTGTCTCTGCCATAGGACACAATTGTTAGTATTTTTTTTTAATGAAATTATATGTACAACTAAAATTTACGATCACTGATTCACCGTTAAAAACCGGGAACACGTACGTACCTAACATAACTATAAATTAATGAATAAACCAAATAAAACTAATTACACCCTGTATATATAACTAGGAAAAAAGAAAACATAGGAGTTTAATTGTTTTTTCTCACTCTTCCACACTAACCGAAACACCAAAAGATAAAATTTAAATTTATTTTATTTTATTTTCCTTCAATATTTTATTTATGATATTAAAGTTGTGATTGAATTAATATCAAATTAGTTAATGAATATCAATCCTTAATTACAATCAGAAGTGAAAGTCTATTACTTATGGTGTTTTTCATTTCACATGTTTATTTTCTTAATTATATTTTAAAAACAATCAATTATTTATATTTTATAAGTATAATTCATAAAAGCTAAATTCCATCAAATCTCTTGTGGTTTAAACTTTTCTCACATATTATTTACATTTTGAAAGTACAATAGTTATCTTAAATGTATTAATAACATATAATAGATATGTAACACACAAAAATAACAAATATTTATGTATTTTATATATAG